GCAGCATCCGAGACCCAACACAGCCAAAATAAATAAATTAATTAAATAAAATTATAAAGAAAAAGTTCCTGGACCACATTCTCACTTCCCCCAATTCAGAAGTGGCCTTCCCTCTATCTAGCCCACACCCTCAAGTCCAGGTCTTTTCTACCCCACATGCAAACCCACCTCTCGTATCCTTGGGTGCCAAATATGTGAGGTATTCAGGGGCAGACTCCAGTTACCATAGATCTCCTCTGTGGGCAGAGATAGGAACACATACATGGACAGAGAGAAAGTAAAGATGCTGCCCTGAATGGACACGGGACAGTCCCAACCTTCAGGCTCCGGGGACTCCCCTTCCCAGTGCAGACCCCAGAAATGCACCCACCTTCTGAAGGGCATTTCCATCTCTCTAGGGCCAGGATGGCTTTCGCTGGAACCAGAAATGCAAAAGCACTGGCCTGGAACAGTGGCAGCCTGAAAGCAGAGGCACAGAGCCACAGGGACAGGATGGGAGTGGGGGAGGCAGGAACGAGACAAGGGAGACGGGGAGCGGGGGGTCGGCAGAGAGCAGCGCCGGGAGAATCCCAGGGACAGAGACACAGAGGAACAGGGGCCGGGGCAGAACAGAGGGAAGTCACCTCAGCCTCAGGCCAGACTCTGAGACATTTTGGGAGCATAAGAAAGAAAACAAATGGAGCCCCTGGCCCATAACCTGCTCCCTTTCCTTCTCAGCACCAGCTCCTGCACTGTGATGGGCCACGGGCATGGGAGTGGATAGCTCGGCTCCTGTGTGCAAGCTCCGCTCACAACCTTCCTTCCCACATACAACCATCCTTAGGCCACCCAGGCCTAGGACTATGCACAAGAGGCAGAGAGCCCCCAGGAGGACAGGCCATTGAAGAGGCCCACAAAGGCCCTGGAAGCAGGAGAGCAAGTGGTCCCAATTACCCAGAGTAAGGCTTAACAGAGGAGAGCCCAGCTAGGCACATTCCTCTTCCTTGAGGAACCCCCAGGGGTTCAGGGTGGGACTCCAACCTCCTGGCTCTAAGTCTGGCCTGAAAACCAAAGCAGCAGGTGGACACAAATAGCAGCTCTTTGTGTCCCACGAGAGTCCTCTGAGACTGCTCCTGCTGTGTGGGTCACTGCATGTGTGTCTGCAGGAACAGGGTCAGAGGTGCAGGTAGCACATGGGGCAGCTCACCGGATGCCCAGTGTGGTCTGGATGAGGGTGGTGATGCCCACACAGGTGAAGATGGTGCCAATGAGCTGGCTGACCATGTACTGGTCACGGCCCACACACAGCGCCTCAGCCAGCAGGAAGGGCACAGCAATGGTGCCACTGAAGCAGGTCAGGTAGTGCTAGGGGTGGGGGAGAGTGGGGGGAGAGCGTGAGAGACAGGGCACAGGGAGCCCACCAGGAAGCAGGGGGATCTCAGAGCCCTCACGTCTGCCTCAGTGGGCCTGAGCCCAGGCCACCCCTGCCAGGGAGCCCCCTTGGGACTGATACTTGCATAAGGGATTCCCACAGAGCGACTGCTCACCTCTCTGGGAGTCGTTAATCTGCCCTAAGTTACTCCCACAGCTCCTGTGGAGTGGGCCCTCCTCCTGTCACTCCCGCTCCCCCGGCGGGTGATGCGCCACCCCTTTCGGGCCCTATCAAGCCTCTTCACCATCGACTTGGCTTGGCAACAGTCACTGCTGCTGACCTTAAGTTTCTCTTCCTGTTACCCAGGACGAGACCTCATTGGCCAGGGAGGGGGCTGGGATCCTGGGGCGGGTGCAGGGTGGTCGGGGCGGGGGGTGCGCAGGGGGCAGGCCCTGGGAAGACGCCCACCTGGAAGCCCAGCAGGACGCACAGGTACCAGGGAGGCACATCTTCGATCTTGTACAACATGTCGAACTTGGGTTCTGTGGACAGGGACACTGGGGGGTCCCTCGTGGAGGTCCCTGCTGAGCCCAGGGACTCATGCTGGGGGCAGCATAGAGAAGAACTCAGCAGGGAGCGGTGACACCCAGAAAAGTCCATTCTGCTTCAGAATCAATCAGGTGCCCCGAGTGGCCTGACAGCTCCACAGATGGGGGCCCTTGCCCTCCCTCAAGCTTCACCCACCCAGCTCTCCCTTGGCCTGGCTACACCTGGCTACCACCTCACATTGCCTTGTGCAGGAACAAGTCCACTATGCTAGCTCCTGGAGCCCCCAGAACCTGGGCCTTCTAGCCAAGGGAATGGGCCCATAAGTCAGAAGCCTAGAGGTACCCCAGGAAGAGGCCAAGAGGGCTGAAGACCGTGACAGACCCTCTTGGACCCACTCTGGTCCCACCAGTGCCCCGGTCCTTGGAGTGTCCACTAGTGGGGTGGTAGGCTGGGCCCCTGTTGGTTCCAAGCTGGAGTCAGCCAGTCCCAAAGCAGAAATCTCCTTCACCCCCACTGCCACCCCCACCCCCTCCCCCAGTTGCCACATTCCACCTGGGACAGTCACTCTTGATCCAGTTCAACACCCCCACTCATCCCCCAGCACCTGTGTCTGGCCCTCAGCATCCTCCCGGGCCCTCATCTTTGGGGCACAGGTTTGAGCTGTTCCTGAGGAGAAGGAGGGATGGCTTTAAGAAGGCCAGGGAGGACTTTACTCCACATATCAGACATTGTTTGAAGTAAATCTGTAACCAGATCTCTAGCGCTGATTGCGAAAGGAGGGCCCAGCCTGAGGTAACGTATTAACTCTGGCTGTAGTGGAAAAGGCCGCCCAAGCCTCTGCCACATGTACCTCCAGAGCACTCCCTTGCTTGCCCACAACCTGAGCCTGGGCGCGGGCCATGAGTTTTCCAACAGAGGGCCAGGGTGAGGAGTGGACGACCTTGGAAGGGTACCAGGCCCTGGGTGAGGTGAGGAGAAAGGGAGTGAACCTGGGCACATATGATGTCACACTCTGAATCAGGCTTTTCCCTACTTATTAATAAAAAGTTAATCATTATCATCATCATAACCCATCTTGTTATTGAGGAACAACTGTGTGCCAAGCAACATCCTTGTATTGTCAAGTCTAACCCCAGGTTCTGGGTGCTATTAACCTGTTTTACAGCTGATGAAACAGATTTAGGAGATGTGATCTGACCAAGGCCACATGGGTCGCAAGGTTTTAGAAAACCATTCTAAAAATTAGGTTTGCCTGAATGCCTAAACCCACCGTGTTTATTTCTACATTAAATGTCATAAAGGGCTGCCCTCCCCACCACTACCGCTCAGGGTCCCTGAGGCAAAATCAGAAATGGGCCCAAGGAGCTGCCGGGGCTAGCTAGTCCGGTCTTGCCTGTCCTCTGTGTTAGGGACAAGGATTCCTTTCCTTCCCTCCCAACCAGGACCAGCTGTGTGCTCTGTGGGACCCAGTGCAAAATGAAAACCTGGGACCCCCTGTTCCAAAAGTGTTATAAACAGCAACAGCAGAGCATTAAACCAAGTCGGGGGACTTTTCTAAGCATCAGGCCCTGTGGGACGGCCACACAGCCCCTGAAGCAGCCCTGGGCCGGACCATCTTCCCCTCCTAGGGGTTGGGGAAAGCCTAGGGGTTGAGACTCTTGGCTGGTGGGCTCTAAGTCCCAGGTCCCAGTTTCAGCTCCCTTCTGTGCCTTCCCAGCCCCCTTAGGGTCCACCTACTTCTGAGTCGCTGTGCCCACGGCCAGGCCCTGCCCCGAGGGCTCCCAGGCAGCACCGCTGTCCAGCTGGGTAGCAGCTTCATGTCACAATCCTGAATCCAAAGGCCTGTCCAGCCTCCAGCCCGTTGCTCTGCCTGCCTGTCCTCTCCTCTCCCTTCTTGGCTACTGCTCCCAGGTTCCTAAAGTTGTCTGACCAGTTCAAAGCCTGTACTCCTCAGCACTTTCCTCCCCACCCTCTTTCCCTCGGTACTCCCTAGGGGGCTGGAGAGACAGCCCCACCCTTTCCACACACTGTCCTTTGGTCATTCAAGTCAACCCAAACCACATACCACACACACAGAGACAAGGCCGGCAAGCTGCACATGATCTCAGATACACAATTGCACAAACACACCCAGAGTCTGATGCAAAGTCTAAGTCACTCCACAAACACAGGACCACGCAGGTCCACATCACGGCTCCCAGCTCCACACCTGTTACTTCTGACGCCTCAGCCAATGCCTTGGACCCTGGCTCTCCTTGGGCTTCAGGGTTCTCTCCTGAGGGCCAGGGGAGGGGCCTCAGACAGGTGGAGAACAGGTGATGGAACACAGAGCGCTGGGCTGTAGGGCAGCTCAGGGAAGCCACAGTGGTCAGGGCCTGCCCGGGACACCCCCATTACTCCAGCACTATCCTTCCCCCACCCCCTAAATGTGAATTCTCTCCCAGCCCTGCCACTTCGCCTAGGACTCTGCCTGAGTCTTTTTTGTTGTCTGAGCCAAGGTGTCAACAGAGTATTACAGTGTTTGTTCTGTCCACCTCCCAGAGATACAAAGGAAACTGCAAGCTTGAGCATCACTGACCCCAGATATCCAGACTCAGGTGCAACCCAGGTGGAGCTCTTTTCTCTGCTGCTAAATAAAGGGCCACAGGTGAGAAGAATTTCTGGGGAGAGCAGGATGTAGAGCCAAGATCCAGAATACAGCCTGTTCTGGGAACCCTGCCCTGCCCTGCCCTGTCCCAGGGCCCAGGCATGCCAGCTGGGTCAAAAGCATAGTCTAGAAAGTGAGCAGCCGCTGGGCGTAGACCCAGGGAGACTAGTGTTCTGGGAGGGGCACAGAGATTGCAGTGGCTGTGGTGGGCGTGTCCGCAGGTGACGTGCTTATGGAGTTTTCCTTGGGTTTCGTTTTCTCTCGTGAGGGATCTGGGGTTCCAAACGTGCTGATAACTGATTTCATGTGCCTTCGACAGCTCACACACATTTTCAACCATGATAGATCTCTTACCTCTGGGAAACTGTGGGGCTTGTCCCTGGCCTTCTCCAGCAGAAACACCAATGTTTATCCTCCCAGCCCCCCAAGAATCTTTTGCAGAGAGAAGGAATTGAGGTCACTCGTTTTATTTGAGTCCAGAGGGAAAGGCCCTGGCCACATCCCAGGCCCCCGAGGCTGGAGGAGGGAGGGAGCGAGGCCTCCCTGCACCCGCCCTCCAGGCCGCCTGCAGAAAGGAGGGAGGCAGATCAAGAAGGAGGCCAGCTCTCTTCAGGGGCTGACCGGGAAGGAGGAGTTGGACTAGAGCTCTGTTCTTGCGTCTGGAGCCTTCTCCGAACAGGCCCCCCTGGGGCCTCCACACAGCAGCGCCTCCAGGGTCCCTCGACCTTGTTGGTGGGCTTCATAGATCTGGTCTTCTCCAAACTCCCCCAGGTAGTGAAAGCAGGTCTTGGAGAGCCTAGAGGAACCCAGCAGGAGCCTCAGACTCTGCCCTGCCTACAATGGGCAGATCAAGGCTGCAAGGGCTCCACCCCACTCCAGCCCTCCAGTCATCACCTGGTGGGCCACAGTCCGTCCATGATCACCACCATGATGCTCGGCTGTGCCCCTGTGCTAAGTCCCGGGCCCATGAGACGTTTCACCTGGTCCACTTCTCCAACTCCATAGCTGGAGGCAGAGGGAGGAGAGGGAGACAGCATCAGTGGAGCCTGTATCTACCCGAAGCGGGGCACATGGGACATCTACCAAGTTTAGTGCCCAGATTCTGGTCCTCTCTGCTGAAAAACTGAAGACCAGAAAGGGGAAGCCCCTGGCCCAAAGTCACACAATACCCTTATCCCCTGGTCACCCACTCTTCTGCTTGCTCCCAGCTCCAGAGTTCAGCCTCTGTCCCAACCAGCCCTACCCTTGGGCTGGAGACCTTGTGGAGTGTGTATGGTGTGATTGGGAGGATGGGGACCCCCCACTCATGAGCCTGCCCCTGGAGAAGTGAGGCAGGGGCCAGATTTTCCAACTCACCCCTGCCACGTCTGCGAGCAGCTCTGGTCCAGGACGTCTGTGTATACTGACTCACTCAGCTCATGACGGCCCCCAGAGTCCAGTGGGAGAAGCTTGGCCTCAGCTTTTGTCAGATGTTGCCACATCTGGAACAAGGAGGGGTTCAGAACCAGGGCTTCAAAACTACTCAGTGCGGAAGGAGGGGCGGGGAAAGCAGCAGCCTGAGTCTCAGAGGAAGAACGAGGCAACGGAACCTTTTGAGCAGGAAGCACCTGTGAGGCTGACTTCGTGGCCCTCCCCCAGGTCCAGAGAGCTGGAAACGCACCAGCTGAGGCAGGACAGCCTTGGGATGAGTTGGTTGGGTGGGCAAAGCTGAGCTGGCCTGGGCACTGGGGACCCTCCTGCAGGGCACACCTGCCCACCATCACCACATGCAATGTAAAACCACAAGAACAAGGAAAGAAAATAAAACCACTCAGTCATCAGTGACACATGTACTCATAGCACTTACACACTCACACATACACTCATGCAAGTACTCAGACACACTTGACAGGTTTGTATGTGAACTCAAGACACCCGCACATGCTCATGGGCTCACAGACTCGACAAATATGCACACGTGCACAAACCCACATGCTCCCCAGGCATGCTTTGGGAAGGAGTCCGGACTTCAGGATCGGCCTGGAAAGGGAGAAGACTGAGAGGACTAGCTAGGGACTCCCTCACGTCCCAGAGATGGCCTGTCTGCTCTTTGCTGGGCAGACAGATAAACTGAGGCACAGAGGTTCTGGTGAGGTGAAGATGGCAATAACATGGAAGGCTGAGTCTAGCTTGATGCCTAGGGGTGGGCTTGGGGATCAAAGGCCAGTGGTGGAACCTGAGGCAGACAGAAGGGTCTGGCTTGAGAAGGGGCCTTCGTAGGGGCAGAACTGCTGGGGGCGGGGGGACTCACCTGGTAGGCCACCGCCCTGCAGGCATCACATCGCAGGTGAGTTGGCATGTGAGTTGAGAACTTTTCTTCATCGTCTAGCTCAGGGGCAGTGGCAGTGAGTGAGGCCTTGTCTCCGAGGCCCCCTGGGATGGCCCAGGCCCCAAGCAGCGGCAGCAGTAGCAGCAGTGACAGCCTCATGGCCGGTGGAGCTGACTCAGTGAGCAAGGGCTGTGGTTGGGGTGCAGGTGTGTGGGTGCATCTGTGTGTGTGTATAGTGGGGGCTGCTTCAGAACACCTGGCCCAGACCAATGGGGAACTGACACTTCACCCCTCCCATTCTCTCCCTTCCCCCAGGGCCCTGGAGACTCCACGTGTGGATCTTCTCTCGTGGGACCCTGGCTCCAGCCAATGAGGCAAGGAGAGGGGCTGGGCCTGGGCAAAGACACATGGGAGCTGATACCTCTCTTGACCTGGGACAGGCTACATGGCAGGCACTGTGCTAAGCTCCTTGGGGGAGGAGATGACTGGTTATGTCTTAAATCTACCCCAAAGAACACAAAGGTTTAGAGAAAAGTGACAAATTCAAGGCCACACAGCTAGAAGGGCTATGCTGAGACTGGAACCCAAGCCTGGTTGCTCCCCAAGGCCCACTGACCACTCAGCCGCCAGAAGAAATGAGGTCACAGGTGTGATTGCCAGCCTAGGGCTCCCTCCTTGAGAGGCAGGTTTGCTGAAGGAGGGACGCCACAGTGTATGAAAGACACATGTGATACTCTCCCTCAAGCCACACCCAGGCATGGAAGGCATTGTAGGGGGTGTTAAGGGGCCGCAGCAGGAAATCAGACACTTCACGCCAGTTGTTCCAGCCATTGGGGCCATTGGGTTTATTGCACATCACGATGAAGTGAAGGGCCCAGGAGTGGCCCAGGGCCCTCCTTGGCATCGGCATCTCTGGCCACAGAAAGATGTCCAGGTTATTCTGACTCATAGTTCTCTGTTTCCAATTCAAGGCGAGGGGGGCAGTGACTCCAAGAGATCCAGGTCCACCAGAGGCCTGGAATTTAAGAAAGGCATTGATCTCCATCCCTAACACTGCTTCTAATGGTAACTGTTCTTCTGCAAACACATCACACCATGTATCAGTCCAGCACTGAGTGAAGCCCAGTCACTTCACTCAGTACTCTACACAGACCCCCCACGAAGAGCACCTCCTACTCTGTGCGTCCCCCCTCTGCTCTCCTGGAATCTCAAGGCAACTGGAACACCCTCTGTGGGGCCTGTCCCTTCCTATGCTGTGACCAGCCTGCAGAGCCAGCCCCTCTCTAGGCATGGTTGCCACATCTGTTACCAGGCAAGTGGAACCAGTTGAGAGCGCCACACAGGGGTATCCCTTCTTTCACCAGCCCTAACCCACTGTCCACCCCATCCAGAAAGGTCAAGAGTTTCCTCTGGGACCTCAGCTCAACCATCCTCTCTGCTTTTAAGTCTTTCCCAATGACCCACTAATCTGTTCCTCCCCCCTTGGTGGGAACAGCCAGAACCCCCACTTATAACCCCAGAATGAGCCAGTTCAGTTCTGAGGGCTTAGACAAGCCAAGTCAGAGGCTGGAGTTGAGGGGAGAAAGAGGGGCAGTACTCCCAGCTGCAGACTACAGTCACCTCCCACCTTCTCCCCAGTCCCCACTCCCCCCAAGTCCCAGGCTGACCCTCCACAGCCCCTCACATACTACTTCCCTGACCTACCTCCACCTCCTGTCCCGGTAGCTCCCTTTCTCAGATAATCCTCGCCTAGGGCCTGCTCCAGCCACTTTTCCCCACAGCCTCCCAGGCCAAGACTCAGATCCCCTTCCAAAGAATAATGGACTTGGTACCAGTGTCCTCCTTCATCCCATCATTGCTCACTAGCCTGCTCCACCTCAGCTGGGTCCACCTTCAGGGAGAGACAGACATCTCCCTACCTCTAGGGGCAGCCCCTTCCTTGCAGCTCCCATTTCCTGCTCTCCCTGAGAAACCCCATCATCCCCTCAGGTCGGTTCCTGGGGCCATGTCATGGGATTTTTCACACTGCCAACTAAAAACTGTCACTTGTCACCTGCCTCTACAAGGATGAAATCACTAGCCACTGCAATCGCTGACCTTCAACCCACCCTGAAAGTTCAGGGCAGAGATCAGGAATGAGGCCCTCTGTGCTCCGGGAGAAACTGGCAGAATAGGCCTTTAGATATTTATTTTCAGGAGAAGTTTTTATGAGCCCAATTTTTTGCATCTTCTCATATCTAGAAAAGCAATAAAATAGACATCTGCTCCTTGTGACTAGCAGCAATCTTCTTCCAAAATGAGTGCTTGATTGCACTATCCTCCTTCACCAAAATCACATATATACTGACCTACTCCCACATAGACAAGCTATGTGAGAGGTTGTCTCCCAGGCTTATAGTTTTCATTTTGCCCCAAGTAACACTTAACTCACAAATCTCATGTTGTGCATTTTTTTCAGCCCACAACACACACACACCTACACACCCCAACACACCACACTCTGGGAGTTGGGGAAAGGGTATAGGATTTTCCTGGGGGAGGAAACAGGCAGCCATTTCCTGAGCTCCAGCTCCATTAGCCCCCCAACCCCACCCCAACGTGTCTCAGATAATCTGAGGGTAACTTCCGGTCTGGGGAAAAAAAAAAACAACGGCATGAGATGGGTAAAAGGAAGAGATGATTGAAGGAGAAGAGGGTGAAGGACTGGATGCCAGAACCTTTAAGACCATCAATAGGCCCCAACATCAAGCGGATCAGGCCCTGGAGCCTCACACCGGGAACAAGGAGCCCTTGTTGGGCTGCGAGGGACCCAAGCTGGAGGGTGGAGTACAGAGAAGAAGAGGAGGTGCGGGGCTGGGTGTCCCGCTCACTGGCAGGTAGTACATCCCGTCCAGGGGCCCCGCCTCGGAAGACCAGGGTAGCTGCGGGCCGCTGAAGGCCGGCGGGCCGGGGGATGGTGGCAGTGAGAGGCCAGGAAGAGGCCCATAGGCTGGCGGGTAGAGGCCGGGGCCCAGGGCCAGCGGGGTGTAGACGCGGCGGGGTGGCACCGAGGGCGAGGGTGGCAGCAGCACCTCCACGTACTGCCCGCTCTCGGGGTCGAAGAGCAGCCGCAGCCGAGGCTGCCTCGGCGCCTCCACAAAGTAGTAGCGGCCGCTTTCGGGGTCCACCAGGACCTTCCCCGGGTTTGCGGCCCCCGGCGGCCTACGCGCCCCCTGGGAGGAACCGTCCGCGGACCGGTCCAGCGGAGGTGCCGAGGCAGCGCGGGGCTGGGCCCGGGCCGTTCTACGAGCCGACGCCTGGGGCTCCCGCGGGAGGGGCGACTGGACCGCCACCGCGGGCTCAGGGACCTTAGGGGGCGTCTCCAGTTTGGATTCTATTCCAGAGCTCGAGCTAGGGTGAGCCTGCGGGGAGCTGGGGCGAGCCTGCGGGGAGCTGGGGCGGGGCGGTCCGGGAGGTTGGGTCTCCGCCGGCCGTATGGGCGACTGCTGGGGTGAGGTGCGAGCGCCGCCTAGAGGGCTGGTCCGACCCTTGTCGTCCGGGACCAAGCGCTGGGCCTCTGCATCCCGGTTCTTTCCTCCAGGACCGTGCACCGCGACTCCCCGGGTTCTCTCAGGCCGGCGGCCCAAGGCCAGGGCACCAGGCAAGCGGATCTCAGTGCGCGCGAAGGGTTTCGCCGTGTTGTTCTCTGCCCTCCGCCGCAGGACCCCGTTGGACTGCGTAACGTCCCGGGTGACTGTGTCTGGGGTTGGCTCTGGGCCTTCGTAGGGGTGTGACACGACCGGCAGAAAGTCCTTGAGAAAAATGGAAGTGTAGTGAGACGGGGCGGGGGGCCCCAGCGCCTGAAGCTCTTGTGTCTTGGATGCGCTGCCTTCTTCCCCGCGGGGTTCTGCAGGAGGGGCGGGGAGCCCTGAGTCTGGGGTGCTTGCCGGAAAGCTCGGCGCGTACGTGGTCTTCACCATCTTGCGTACGTCGCGGGGCCGCGGAATGGCCACGCGCGGGCGCCCCGAGGCCGCTTCTCCAGAGCCCACAGCTTCAGGGCGCGCATCGGCATCCAGGGTGCGGCTGAGAGGCAACTGGGTTGCAGTCACCTCTGGCGACAGCTGGTTACCTCGGAAGGCAAGATCCGGCATCTCCCGCGTGGATGGACTTTGAACCTCTGTTAGCTTTGGAGTCCCTGGTGCAGACGGCGTGGGCGGCACCAGTTCCTCTTGGGCCTCGCCATTCATAGCTACCCGCGTAGGCACTACCGATGAGCTCTGCACTGTGGAGTTCCACGTCTCCTGGGGCGATGGGCTCCACGTTCCAATAGTACGATCTGGAGTCTCCCACGAGGGCAAGGTCGGCGGGGACGGGCTCCTACTTCCCTCAACTGCATCCCCAACTGCCGGATGCGGCACCTCCCACGAGGAGGGAGCTTCGGGGGATGGGCTTCTTGCCCTGGCAACACCCCGATTCCACTGGGAAAGGGTCGGAGGGGAAGGGCTCTTTTTGCTGACAGTTTCCGTGACAGCAGCATCCTGATTGTCCCATGTGGAGGATGCCTCGGGGAGCGATGGGCTACTCACCTTCCGAATAGTTCGATTCCAGGGGGACAGGTTCTGGGGGGAGGTGCAGTGAGGACCCCGCACGGTCCCATTTGGGGCTTGCCACGGCGGGGATGGGCTCCTCCGTCTCACAGCCTTACTCGAAACTTCCCAGGGGGGCCTAGACTGGAAAGGCGGACCCTGTGCCCTCAGGACGGTTTGATCCGGAGTATCTCGCGGGAAACGAGCCTTCGGTTCTTTTTGGTGCACCTCCTCGGTCTTCTCCCCTGACTTCAGGAAGATGCTGGAACTAACTGGACCCAGCGGCTCGGTCCCGGGCGCGGGCTTGTCGCGCCGAATTGCGCGCTCCCGGAGGCTTGGCCACGGTCTTGGGGCCCTGGCTGGGGCTGAACTATAGTTCACCCGAGGCGGCAGAGACTTGGCTTCCTCCAGGGCCACCCGAGTACTGCGGGGCGTTTCCGGGGTCGCAGGCTCCGGCGGCACCGTGGGTCCAAAGATGGCGTTGCTTGGGGCAGGGGGCGCCGGGCTCAGTTTTCTGGCTAGTGCCGTCTGCACGAGGTCCGCGGCAGCGTGCAGGCGGCTCAGAGACTCATCCAGGGAGCCGGTGCGCAGGAGCAGTCGAGGGCGCGGCGCATTGGCCTCCCGCGGGGGACTCCGGGGCCGAGGGCGCAGCTCGATCTGACGTTTGGGCACCGTCCGGGGCCTGGCAGGCGCGGTACGCTCCTCCAGCGCCACCTCCACACACTCGAACTGCGATGGGGTGGCAGGACTCGCCGCGCGGGGCCGCAGCTCCAGGTAAGTGGCCCAGCGGGAGCCACCGTCGGGGACCTGGGGCTGCGGTTCGGCAGGGATGGGAGACGCGGACCCAGCCGGAGAGAGGCTGCGGAAGGCCCGCGTCGTGAGCTGTTGCACTTCTCTATCCTCTGCGTCGGAGCGGCTGAATAGGGGCCCAGCGCCGAAGATGACTTCCATCTCCCCCGACGGCAGCATGCGCAGCTGGGGCTGGGGTAGTCGCGGGCCGGAGGCCGGGCCTCGCGGGAAACCCGAGCCGGGCAGTAGCTGCTGGCGGCTATTCTGGGCGCTGACGGACAGGCGAGGCTGCACGCCCGCCCCCAGCGCAGGGGCCACCCTGGGCCAATTCGCCCGGCCCTCTGCGTCCGGCCCAACGTCCGGGGGCTCTGGAGAACCCGGAGCAGTGTGGTAGGAGCCTGACGAACCGGACGAGTCCTGGCGCCGAGCGGGGGCCTCAGGCAGCCGCCCGGGGAACCCAGGCAGGGCTGGCTGGACGAGCGCGGTCAGCATGCTGGGGCCGGACGCTGCGCACTACCTCCCTCGCATTCGCCTTCGCTGGTGCCGCGGACGCCCACATTGTCCCCGCCCCGCCCGCGGGTGTCGTGGGGGTCACCGCGCCTTAAAGCGGCCGCGTCCGCTCCTAAGACAGCGGCATAGGCAGCCAGAGGGCCCTGGGCCCTACCCTCCTAGATCCCTTCTCAGACGTGAACCGGAGAGCCTAGGGTGACATTCCAGGATTTGGTTTGGAAGGTGAGCGGAGGGCAAACATCCAACTTGGACCCAGGAGCCAGGCCCAACTCCACTCGTCCATCCCAGGTGAGGGAACTGAGGCTGAGCAGGGACCTGCTTGACATCAAGTATCCTGTGTGGGTCAGTGTGTGAGCCAGACCAGACAACCCGGGTCTGGTAATTTCATCTGTCAACTCCCCAGGTCTTCCCACCACTGCAGCGCACCCCTCCTCTCTGGCCCTCACAAAGCCTGCCCCAGCCAGAGCTCATAAGGGAGCATGCATCATCTTCTGTGACCATCACCACAACCTGCCCCATATCTTTGATAGAGGAGCACCACATGGAGGCTCCCCCAACTCCGAAAGTTGTACTGGGGCCTCAGAAAACATGTCCCTGGCTAGACCCACTGCTTTTGTGGAAACCTAGGCTGGAGGGGACAGTGCTAGCTTTTCAGGTTGTCAGAACAAGGCCCAGATGCTAATACGGCATCTTTTAGGAACATTTAGGGTAGCTGTGGTCCCTTCTCTAAAGGCCTGTGGTAAGAATAGCTCTGTGCTCCCCCAGGCACTCACAATGCCCTCATTCCAGGCCCCATCACTTCAGGACCTGTCCTGGGGACAACTGCTGATGGGGAAGCAGCTACCACCTGTTACTATCCTGGGACGATGACAATGGGCACCACTTGCCCTTAAACTTCTGGCTTCAAGGTCCTGCTATGACTCAGGCCCCAGCTGGCCCTTACGCACTCAGCCTCACACTGACCCACGCAAGGCCAGACCTGACCATTGACTCCGCCTCCCCTAAGTGCGTTTCCTGCCTGGGTGTGTTCCCTTGGTCACCTAGGGCACATTAGTGACGGCTTCTGAGAGGACCAAGCCTGGCCATCACACTCAGCTCTGTATATGCAACTCGAGCAAGTCATAACCCCTCCACAGACTGTTATCCCACCTTAAAAACAGACATAGAAGGGGAGAAAAAAAAACCAAAAACACACCACCACCATAGTAGTCTTTTCCTCTTCCTCCATTTGTGCACATAAGCTTCTGTTCGGGAGATGTGTAAGAAGATGCAAAGGTGATTCACAGGTATAACATTCTTGTTATGTGATGGAAACCGATTTCCCAAGTTCACTGTGGTCCTGGAACCCACCATTTTTGAACTCTCCAGTTGGGGCTTCTCAGACACATAACACAGCACATACACACTTATGTGTGCTGGGGTAACCAGGGCTGTTTATATAGGAAAGAATTTAATACCAAGAGTAAGAAGGGATAGTGCCTACTAGACAACCAAGTAGTCCTTCTCTAGGCTACAACCCGTACCCCCAGAGTCCCCACTATCACCCAAGGGAGGAAGCAAGGGGAGTAGCAGGGTCTGGAGACTCGTCGAGGTGCATCCTCAGACTTCTGAGCACAGGAATGGCCCGGCAGGTGGGGGTTCAAAAGGCAGGCAGGGAGGAAGGAAGGGGTGTCTTGCCTTTTACCCTGCCTCTTCCCTGGTGTCCAGGCCACTGTGAGGCCTGAGGGAAGTACCCACAGGGACAGGAAGGGTCAGGATGGGGACCTCCAGAGCAGAGAAGGCAGAGGTTGGGCATTACAGCCAGATAACAGGAAGGCGGCAACCATTTTATTTTTCCCTGGGACGCTGGCGGCTCTGGGCCTGACGTGTCCCCGAGGCTTTCTTATGCTTCTGGTCCAGCACTTGGGCCATGTAGTTCTCTTGCTGCTTCTGGATCCGGAAGTCAGACATGTGATTCCTGCAACGGAGCCGGCTGGGTGTGGGCTGGGAACAGCCCAGGGTAGGGAGCAGAAGTCTGGCTCCCTACTTCCATCAACAACCCCCAGCCTGGCCCAGACCCCTCACCTGAAGATCTCTTTCTGCTGGCTGATAACTTGCTGCAACTCCTTAATCTCATTCTCTTTGCCATTAAGTATATCTTCTTGCTTTATAATGTGAGACTCAATTTCTGTGGGGGAGAGAGGCAGGGAGGAGGAGGGGTTCCCATCCCATGGGCTCCTTCCTGAGATAAGGCATTCCCTCGTGGGTCTTTTCAGAACTTGGCTCCCCACCACCCAGGGATTGTCTAAGAGTAGTTGCTAATGTCTTTGTAAGGATGAGTTTATTATAGAGTCCTTATAGGGTGGGGGTGTGTGTCAGTGACTTTACAACTCTATTCTGGACCAGGTGGCTCCCCTGTGGGCATGCAACGGCCCTTGGAGAGAAATGGTCAGCCCTGCCCTCAACTCCTGCAGCTCTTTACAGATATCACCCTCCTTGGTGAGACCCTTCCTAGTCTAAAACTACAGCCCTTCACTTCCCAATATTTCCTATCCCGTTTTCCTGCTTTATTTCCCTTTTACCACTTAAATCTCACAGACCTCATGTTTTGCTCATGTCTTCTCCTCTACTAGGATATAAGGTCCACAAAGAAAAGGATTTTTGTTTTATTCACGGCTTTAACCCTGAGGCCTAAAATAGTACCTGGCACATACTGTTAAATAGATGCACAATACATTTATTTGTGGAATGGATAAACAAGATGTCCCCTGGGAGTTTAAGTCTTAGAAACATCACCTAGTTCAGTCATTGCAAACCACCCACCCACTGAGGGCTAGAGCAGGATGCCCAGCCCTGTGTTAGGGCTTCAGGCGAGAAGACAGGACCCCAGGGAGATAGTGGTGGCAAAGCTTACCCCCAGATTAAGTGCTCATTAGATGCAAGGATGAGTTTTGTGTCTTGGCTTAAAATCCAATGAGGCTGTAGGGATCTGGGGTTGCTTCATTTACATAATGTCCCTCAGGGAGCCCTGAAAATTCTGATCCTCAAAGAAGAAAATCCTATAGCTTTCAAAGACTAGACAAAGATTAACTAGAACGTAAGCTCTGAAAATGCAAAACTGCTGAAGCAGTTAAGGTTTGAGAAGAGAAAATCTGGTCAAAAATTACGGGATATGTTGAACAGAGACAAGGGTGAAGGAAAAGAAGGAAAACCTGGGTTCAATGGGTCACAGGACCAGTGCTATTGAACCTCCTTCCCCAGGTCAGCCAGTGAATCCAATCTGATTGCTTATGAAGTTCTTGTGGGAAAAAAGCATCAGAAATTTGTTCGAATCTTAAAATAAATGAGAGCTATTTAGAATAAATGGCACCCAATGAGAGAGTGGTTAGAAAAGACTTTCAGAAGAATAAGGAACTATGTAAGTGTAAAACCAACCTGGAACCACATAAAGGGAGGCGTGGGGGATTAGAAGTTAGGCCAGGGGGTAGCTTAGGTCACGAGATCTGCTCAGGTGAGGGCTTGTGCCCTTCTGGAGGAATTCAGAACATTCTGCCGGGAGGAAGCCAGGCTCCTCCCCATGACTCACACACACCTTCCACAAGCAGATGCAGAGCCCTGAGGCCATGGCTGATCTCTAGGAAGTGTCCTAGAGGAAGGGCCTCACCACTAGGAGAGAAGCCTAGGTTCCTTTTAGGGAAGTGGGGGGAAGCCCAGGGAAAAGGGAAGGACTAAGGGAGCAGCATCTTTGGGTATGGAGGCACTGCCCGCCTGTTGGGCCGCAGGAGGGGCCATGAGGCCATGAGGTTGCCTTAGACAACCATGAGGCTTGTTAGTCCACCTGGCCAGATCAAGACGGCAGCCTACTGGCATCTTTCCAGTGAGAGTACTCACTAGGGGAAAGAGAAGCCTGCATTGGTGGGTAGGGGGTGCCCAAGACTCCAGGTGGGGGCTCATCAGGAGAGACCCTGAACCTCTTCTGGGTGTGAACTCTGATCCACTTGAACAATGCAGTGAATGAAGGAAATGTTGCATATGGAACTCATATCTACTTCTTAAAGTAGGTAAGGAGAGTCTGGCATTCTGGGAAAATGAAAAGGGGTTCTAAGGTCTCAGAAAACTGAATAGCTGACCGAAAGTGCCCCAAAACTCAGAGTACCAACTGAGCCAACAAGTGGCCACAGGCATCTGCATAGAGCAGAGGTGAAAACTAATGGCCCACAGACATATTTTCCTTGGCCCATACAATACTTTAAACATTTTTGAATTTTTAAATTTAGTGCCAACATGAAAAAGTCAGAAAAGCTTCCATTAGAATGTGCTTTCCAGTTTTTTTTTAAAGATCTGACTGAACTGGGCCCCTATTCCCACAGCAGAGGTGCTAGGCCCTTGGGAAGGAGTATGGCTCTCCACATCATCACAGTCCCCATTTCTCCCTGTTGGGTCCCCAACACTCAGACTAAGGGTCAGCTTCCATACAGGACTGTTCTTTCCCTGAAAACAGAGTTATGAGTAAAGTACACTCTTTCTATTAGTTACCAAAAGTGGGAAAACAAAAAGGTGGACTAAGGTCGTATGTTTCAAGAAAAATGGGAGCGAGCCCGTTCCTTTATGGCCATGAAGAATATTGTACACCAATCATTTCCCTCATTTCCGTGGCCTGCCTGGTCCCTGAAGGCCTTTGCGAGGGTGTGGCCCGCTTGGGCTGGCCTGTATCCTCAGCCGGGGACAGAAGTTGGGGTGAAACCCTGCCCTGGACACAGGCACTGGGCTGTTAGGGAAGAGCCCATGTAAGCAAGCGTGGGAGGGAGTGCGGGCCTCCCGCCTACCATTGCACTTGGTGATGAGCTGGTCCTTCTTGCTGGACTCCTGTAGGGCTCTGCTCTTGACACTGGAGAGCCTGAGTGGAGAAGATAAGGAAAGATGGGAAGGCTGATGGGCAGATGGGACCCCCAACTCTTCCCCCACTACCAAGTTCCACTCACGCCTTTTCAAAGGCCAGCTTCTCTTTCTCCAGCTGTTTAGACAGCACCTCTACCTCTCCGAGGGCAAACTGCAACTTCTCCTCTTCCTTGGCCAGAAGAACCTTGGTCTTGGCATGGGCTGCTTTCTCTTCCTGCAGGGGCAGCAGCAGTGACCTTATCACCACAAGCCATGCTGAGTCTCCTAGGCCCCCTTAATCAGTCCCCTTTCTCAGATGGGCACGTAGAAGACATGGTACAGGAAGATTCTGTCCTTGCTATGGGGGCTGGAGGCGCTCAGAGACCAGTGCTCAAGGACTGCCCAACCATTGGGATCCTGGGAAATGGGGGAAGATGAGAAGCTGACAGAGGCTATTACTTACCACCAGCTTTTTCTCCACTGCCTGGAACTCTTCTTTACTGACAAAATTTTCATCCTGGAGAATCATCTGCAACAGAGCCTGGCTCAGGGAGGGCCTGGAGTTGTGGTGGGAGGGGTTTCTCTAGGCACAAGGGCCTGGTATAGATAATGGATGCCTAGGGCATGTACGATAACACTGGGGCCCAAGGAAGGGAGAGTTCATTCCACAAGATTCACTGATGCTCAACTCTAGGTCCTGCGTACAAGGAACAACAAGTCTCATGGAGAAGACACTGTGGCCACCATGATGTGTGCTATGAGGCCTTTGCCTCAGCCTGAGGAAGGGTCAGAACTGCTTCAAGGGAAGGGATGTCAGCTTGATATCTGACTGCTAAATATGGGTGGGCCAGAAAAAAAGGATGGAAAAGAGAAGTGTTCCACATAATGAGAACACATATGTAAGGCCAGCTGTCAACAGAAAGGCCTGGGTACCTTTAGGTAATTCAGTGTTCAGAGCTGCATTCAAACATTGGAGTGAGAAATAGATGTGAAGTCAGTTTTATCTATGTCCTCACCTCTTTATCAAGATAAAAAACAAACAGAAAAATCATATATCCCACTTGGCCATGATTTTACCATACATGTTCAGGAAATTTGTGGCTCCAGTGCTTTGTCCCAGCTTTGCATTTGATTGACAAGGCAAAAGCAAAGGACATAAAGGGGCTGAAAGCCCTTAAGTCAACATGTGAATAGCTTACAGCACTCAGCATGGGGAGGGGACTCCACAATAGGGATGATGTTATAGTTACTCTGTACACAGTGAAGTCATCTCCAATTAGAAATGGGGAAACTGAAGCTCAGTGAATAGGCTGCCATATCTACCAGGCCCTGGACAACCAGGCAAAGAGAGTAGAAAACAACTTGGTTTTCTCTAAAATTTCCGGGTAAATGTTCCTGAGACACAGTCCCTTTTTGGCTCTAATCCCCCCACCAGCCAGAACATATCGGGGCCCCGCCTCCTCCGGATGACGCCATTGGCAATGTGGCCTCGGCACGCCCCTGGCACTGGGACAGGGCCTGGCCCCGCCCCCACAACGTAGGCGTCCAGTCAGTCTTCTCTGGCAGCGTACCACGTTCCTCAGCTGGTGGATCAGTTCCTCCTGAGACTCAATCACGTCCCGCAGTTGATCAAAAGCGAGACATACCGACCCTGACCCGCCCTGCGACCACCCGACGGGCGTCGCCATCTTTCGCCCCCGCCAGCTCGTTGGAAATGGCTGCCGCGGGTTACCTCACCGCTGATGGCCACCAATGAGAATGCGACGCCACAAAGCACCCTGGCAACCAGGGGCGGGGACTTCCTTTGTTTGCAGGGATGGGGCCCGCCTCTTAAAAGAGTCGCTCTCTTAAAAGAGTCCCTCTCTTACAAGAGCAGGCTGGGGCAGAGAACCTGCCGCACCGTTAGTAATTTAGGTTTATAGGGAATTTGCACGGTTGTTATATGGTGTCTTTCTTACGCAGTCCTGAGGAGCGGGCAGGGCCCGGTTTAAACTTACCCTAAGGGCTGAGGAGCAGGCAACACACCGGCCCACAGCCTTCCCCCAGGACCCATTAAACTACATACAAGACTTAGAAGCAAGAGTCATGGACAACCCCTGCATGTGTCTTTATCCCACTCTAAACTCTGCATTTTCCGCATAGTATGAGACTAATATGATCCCTCTTCGAAGCTCTTAGGAACACAGTACTTAGGGGACCTGAGCTTCCCAATGAAGGGAAGCTCAAAAATAGAATAGGAAAGTGACTTCATCTAAGATAAGAGTCCTCATATTCTGGGACCAGGCTTTGGGCAACCTGAAGAGTCTGAAGATATTAGAACTGAAGTCAGGCATGAAGGAAACTTGTAAAATGGAAGCAAGGAAGAATAAGGTGATTACACATCCCCACCAATCCCCGTTGAGGGCTTGTTTTGAAACCCAAATAAGATTATGCTTGGGGTAAACCGGAACTAATATTTATCAAGTATTCACTATTTCATGATACTGTTATGCTTTATTAGTATTATTTCATGTGACCTTCATAATAACCTTGTGTACTTGATCCTAATATCCTCATTTTACAGATGAGAAAATGTAGTTTCTATGAGAATGAATAACCCAGTAAGGCAAGGTCACCCAAGCTATTGAGCTTTGAAACAGGGTTTTGACAGGGGCAGTTTGATTTCAGAGTCCATGTTCTTAACCATGATGCTATGCAGTATTTTGTGAACATAATGGATTCTGAAGTTATGGAATTTGAAACTCCCAAGTGGGAAATAACTATATTAAGAAGGAATTTGGGAAAATATGTTGTCAATGATCACAAAGGGAAGTTGAAATATCAGGTAAGTCACTTAGGGTGCTCTCCTCAGCTGCCTGGGTATCTCTTTTTGGCTGGATGTTGTGACCTGACAAGACATGGTCATTCCTGTGGATCTCCCAGTGGTAGTCCTTGTTTTATCCTTTTCTTCTTTCCTTTTTTATTGTGTCTGTTCTGATGTCCTTGAGAGTAAGGCCACCACTGTGGATCAGTCTCTAAGGTCAGAGATGGACTTTTCTGTGATGGAAGTGTTCTGTACTGTCCAGTGCCAGCAGCCACTAGCCTCACGTCGCTTGGCAGCACTTGAAATATGGCTCATGTGACTGAGGAGTGCTTTTTAAATATTTAATAAAAATTCTAATTAGTTAAAATTGACATTTAAATAGCCATATGTGGCTAGTGGCTATGGTATTGGATTATCATGGGCCTATAGGGTGCTCTGTGATTTATGTACCTAACGACAGAGCCCTCTTGGAACTTTGTGTTTCAAATGCAAATGTTCCTCTGAATCACTCTGGACAAAGCTGTACATTGCTCTGGGGCAGCGATCCCTGAGTCTCTCCTCTCTAGGGTCTTTCACGAGGTGCTGCTTGATGTCCCTTGCCACTCAAAGATCACTTCCACCAGCTGCTCTTCATGTTCAGGGCAAAACTCTGGAGTGAAATAGGCTTCTGCAGCCAGTTCCTAGGGGTGGGAAGTTGTGAGCAAGAGAGAACCCTGGATCCAGGCCCACGGCATACTAGCATGGACTTGATCTGGGATGGTCACTCTGGTTGGGGACTGCCAAAGACTCCCACTCTGTGTCAACAGACACTACAGGTTCCTCGCCAGCTGGGGCTCAGCAAGGCTCAGGATAACATGACATCACAGATAGCTTTGTGATCCTGCTCCAGGAAGGACTGCCTTTTTTCACAGGGCTGTCATCCCGGTTGATGTTCTGGTTATCTATTGCTCTGTTACAAACCACCCAAAATTAACAGCTTAAAAAAAGTCATTTGGCTCAGAAATCTTCAGCTTGGGCAATGTTCAATGGTGAAACCTTATTTCTGCTCTATGAGGACCAGGGTTCTTGGTGCCTCTCCACGGGCTGCTTGGGCTTTCTTATAATATATGACTGGGTTTAAAAGCATCTAAAATGATGAAATATTCTGGTGATCTAGTGGTTAATTAGGACCCTGCACTTCCACTGCTGGTGACCTGGGTTTGATCCCTGGTCAAGGAACTAAGATCCTGCAAGCTGAGTCTGCGGCCAATAAACCTTCAAAATGACAAAATGAGAGATGCCAGTTTCTTAAGTTCTGGGCCTAAAAACTGGGTTACTGTCATTTCTGCCCAACCCTATTGGTTCAAAGAACCAGAGAGTCCAGATTTAAGCAGAGGGGACACATCCTACTTTTTGATGGGAGTAGTTTCAGAGAATTTGAGCTGCACTTCCAGAGGAAGTCCTGACAGGTGTCATGTCATTTCCTTCCAAGGTTCAATTCAGATAAAACCAGACTGGAACTTAGTCTAATGGGGGAGACAGATAATAATCAAATAAACACCCAAATAAATCCCAATTTAAGTCATTATTCAAGCAAGAAAAAGAGGAATGAGAGTAATTTAAAAGGAGATTAAGCCCAGCCTGGGTGTCAGGGAAGGCTGTAAGGAAAAGATGTTTGAGCTGAATGAAACCTATTAAGGTAACCAGGAAGCACTTAACGAAGGTGGGCAGGGGCAGGGAAGTGGGAAAGGGTACCAGAAAGAGGGAAGAGTATATACGAAGTCCCTCGGGGAAAAAGGTTGGCAGAGTGTAGTAACTAAAAGGTTAATATGGCAGAAAAGAAAACAATATATAGGACATGCAAGGATAGAGGCCAGAAACTTGGTAAAGCCTTGTTAAGCATTAGGCCATGCTGAAGACTTTACTGATTCTTATTATGAGGGCAAAAGAAAACTACTCAAATATTTTAAGCAAGAGGGTGTTATGCTATAATTTATGCTTTGAAAATATGTCTCTGGTTGCAGCAAGGTGTACAGATTGGAGGGAACCCTGAGTAGATAGATGCACAGAGACTACTTATGCTTAGGCAACTACTGCAGTGGTTTCTGTCAAAGTGGATGGTAGTTTGGGAGTCAGATGGCACCAGAGGAGGCAGAGTAGATGGATTTGGGATGTCCTGGAGGTAAAACTGATAGGACTTAACAATGGAAGGGATATGGGGAAAGGGAGCTGAGGTGTTTGGTTTTCTACTGCTGCAGACTACCACAAAATGTAATGGCTTAAAACAGTAGCTAGTGTATTACTTGCTCAAGATCTGCAGTTTGAACTGGGCTTGGTATGCAGCTCATTTCTGCTGTGATCATCAGCAGGATGGCATAACTAGTTTGGCTCAGATGATATGTATCTGGGTTCAGTTCTTGCTGCCAGCTCAGTTGTTTGGTTCTCCTCTAGATGGCTTCTCCATGCAGTTAGCTTAGTGGTCTCAGGGTGGTAGGACTTAAATGGAAGTTGCTGGTTTCGCCACATTCTATTGGTTAAAGATCAAGGCCAGCCCAGGTCAGAAGGGGGACTACACAAGGTCATGAATATTAGGTGTGAATCCATTGGAGGATACCACACAAAGTCTTCTGGGTTTCTGAATTTTTTCTTGGATGGATGGTGGTGCTATTCATGGAAATGGGAGCATTTCAATGGTGTTGCTTCCATCCCCATTTTTAATCACTGTAAGAAGGATGATTACATTTCAAGTCTCTTTTCCCTCAGAATTGTTTTCATTGATCCTTCATCCTGGATTAAGTCTCATTGTTATAGAGTCCTTTGGTCCCCGCTTTGACATTCATCCCACTGGAGAGCATTATAATTGGCCTCCCTGTTGGATGAGAGCTCCAGGAGCCGTGGTGCCAGCTTTCACTGTTTCCTGATCTCCATCCCAAAAGCTCAGCCCACCTGGCACATAGTAAGTTCTCCATCTTTGCTGAATTGAGTATTATCTTAATCTTTCTTCACATGGAAGGTATTACTATTATATTAACAATGTCCTGTATTTCTAAGCCAAGACTAACCTAACAGGACCATGAGGAACAAAACCAACAAGGAACTGGGATGACACCTGATGTTCAGATGCTAAGTAAATTTGATGTGTCTGTTGGTTGTAATAAGCTGCAGCTGCTGATATCCAATGGAAAACAAATATTGAATTGGTGGTGTCACCAATGCTATCCATTGTTCTAAACACAAATAATTCCATTGATATATGAGGGAACACTGGAGCAGAGGTCAAGAGCTCTGGTCTAGTATAGTCCTAAGTGGCTCCAAGGAGTCAGGCAATATGCAGGACCTAAGAGTGTCATGGGCAAAGGTAAAAGAACAAAGGAAAAATATAAAGCCATTCTTTTAATATAAAATCATTTAATTTCTTTCTCTGTTAAAATACACTCAGTCCAGATGCTGTGAATCAGGTGACCAGATTTTTCAGGATTCTCACTCCACCATAAGCTGATTCCATCTGTGTCAAACCTGGTTTTGGTCACAGAACATTCATATCTTTAATTACAAATACTCAATGTGATGCAAATGATGTAATCAATATCTAACACATAGGTATATAGTTTCTTGGTGGTCACTGCACGAGGTATCAACAATGCAGGCTCAAAAAATAAGATGTATAGTAAGTTGGTCCTTTCCAAAAATGTATTAGGACACTAA